ATTTTTTTGTTATGCAAAACGTCTTCAGTTTTTCAGTTGTCAAAAAGAAAGAATATTTCATTTTGTCTTACTATAAATTTGGTGGCGTACATATATAAATGCCATGAGAGTTCACTAACAGCTTACCTTCTCAAAAAAAAAAGAGTTCACTAACAGCTTATTCTCTTGCAGGTGGCATAAGAAAGATACCTGGTATTTATTATGCTGAAGGGTCTGAGACCGCCAAAAGAAATAGGCAGCTTGTTTGGCGGGCTGCAGTTGATATGTGTAAGACGACATCACAGCTCGCGCTTCAGGTGATTGAGATATATCGATAAAGATTTGAGCTCCTCTTTTGTGGCAAGCTTTTGTTGCAAGTCTGGATTGAGTGTTTCTTCTGATGTTCAATCCTAGTGAATAAAGTTGTTTTCTTTTGCTACAGGTGAGGTACCTAGACATGCATGTGAGGTGGAGTGACCTTGTTCGTCCTGAACAGAGCGTCCAAGATGGAAAAGGTCCAGAAACAGAAGCTTCTGCTTTCAGAAATGCTTACATATGTGACAAAAGAGTTGTTGAAAATGAGATTAGGTATGGTGTTGCTTTTGGAAATCAGAAGCATCTCCCATCTCGCGTGATGAAGATTATAGTAGAAGTAGAGCAAACACAGGATGGAAAGGAGAAATATTGGTTTTCTGAATTGCGGATTCCTTTGTATCTAATAAAAGAGTATGAAGAAAAAGTGGGAAAAGATCTGCCTTCAGCCAACAAACCCAGAAGTGCATTTACAAAGAAAAACCCCTTCAGGACTCCTTGTAAAGATATCTTTACTTATCTAGTACTGAAGAGAGATGGCAATGATAAGTATTGTTGTGCTTCATGTCAAGCGGATGTGCCATTTAGGTATCCATTTAATGCATTTATCGAAATTCCTTTTTCTGCTTTTTCTTATGTTCGTTTATTTATGCTATCTCATTTTCTCAGGAATGCGGTGAAGTGCAATACATGCCAAGGTACTATAATAACATCTATTTCCCTTGTATCAGTTACTATCATGTTGTTATATGGGCTAGCTAGTTGGTCTCGGAGTTCATTGATGTTATCTTATTTTGTAGGTCTCTGTCATGAGCTGTGTACAGTTAGTTCAACAGTTGATGGTAACGACGATGATGAGTACACAAACGCTTGCAAAAAGTGTTGCCAAAATAGAGCCCTTACTGGAGTTAAATGTAGTGATGAATCTCCAACAAGTCCTTTACTCCTGCAAGGGCAATACTTTCCAAAGCAAATATCAGCCAAGAAAGGAGTAAATGTTGGTAAGTCTAGTCATCTTTCAGCCTCCGTTGCCACATTGAAGCATTCTTCTGATAGGAAGCATGGTAATTCTTCGAACTCCACAACGAAAAAAAAACACAAGTTGGGTGTTGTTTGGAGAAAGAAGAATGAGGACACTGGCACTGAGTTTAGATTAAGAAACATTTTTCTTAAGGGCAATCCAGACGGAGATTTTCCCAGACTTACTTGCTACCTTTGTCGCAAGCCATACAATCCTGATTTGATGTACATCTGCTGTGAAACGTGTACAAGTAAGTTTGTTCCTGGGAGGAATTCTTTTAACCTCGTAATCTTGAATATATGTTCCATTACTTTTTAGGTTTGGAGAAATAATTAATGCACCGTGAGTTTGCAGATTGGTTTCATGCTGATGCTGTTGGACTTGAGGAGTCAAAGGTTTCTGAAGTTGTGGGGTTCAAATGTTCTAGATGCCGTAGGACTAGAATACCCATCTGTCCTTATTTGGATCCAAAAAGCAAAAAACAGTTAGAAGAAAAGAGAATGCGCTCAAGGGCTTCAAAGATGGATAATCCTGGAACGGAGTTTCACTCTGGGATCATTCCGGAGCGGCATATGGAGGATGAGATGTCTACTCAAGTGGTGCCCTCAAAAGAGGAAAACATATATGTAGAGGATGATAATTCTCTTGTTTCTACTCCGGAAGAATTCTATGAGCAATTCCCAGAAGCTGATTGTGAATGGAATGCTGCAACCATGTCTGTGCCAGGGCCTAAAAAGTTGCCAGTAAGGAGGCATGTGAAGAACGAGAATGATTTGGATTCTTCTTTTCCAAGCAATCCTTCCCATGCTGATTTTTTTGGAGGAAACATAATGATTTCTACGGAAGAAATACCATCTAATGCTGAACGGGGTACTAAACTGCCAGTAAGAAGACATGGAGGAGTGGAGAAGAATTCAGATACTCATTTCGCCAACAACTCCACGGAAGTTGAATTATCAACACCTCATGGGGTGGACTGGGATACTTCCAGAAATGGTTTTGAGGAAGGCATGATGTTTGAATACGATGATCTCCACTATGAGGATATGGAGTTTGAACCTCAGACCTATTTCTCTTTCAATGAATTGCTTGCATCTGATGATTGCGGCCCATTGGATGGATCTGCTAATTTGAAAGACAATGTTGACACATCATTGGGGTTTCCATCTGATGGACTTTCTGATATGTCTTACTTTAAGCACGAGCCTGAGTTTAGCATAGAATCTGCTGCTGTCACTGTTCCTTGTAAGATGTGTTCCCATTCTGAACCATGCCCTGATCTTTGTTGTCAAATGTGTGGCATATGGATCCACAGTCATTGTTCACCTTGGATTGAGGAGTCATTTGGAGAAGCCGGTTGGAGGTGTGGCAACTGTAGGGACTGGAGATAGTCGATGCTTTTACCATTTTGTGATCTTACTGATTGGAGTCAGGTGCATCGGCTAGAGGGAATGTGATGTATTTTGACTTCATCGATCTAAGAGTTGGTTAACTACACAAGATGCAGTTTTGGATGGTAGTCTACTTGTTGCTTTGTCACAAATAGACAAGGAAATCGAAGTCACTTTTGATGCCAGTAGGTAATTATTCTGCTAAGCAGGCGCGAGAGCACCTTCCAATTCTGCAACCTGGAAAATTTCCCTCATCCAATTTGGGAGGTTTCATCTCTTATTTTTTGAATGATTATAGCTGGATGATAGGAAAACAATCGTGCGCAATATACGTGTAGAAATGATTAGTGGGAGGTTGTGGTATTTGCTCCAACCTTGGCAGATAAGCAACTCTTTTTTGTTGGTGCTTATCTGATATTTTTGACTGTATAAAGAGGCCATTAGTTAGGATTTCTTTTCCTCGTATAGTTCTTTTATCACTGTGAAATAACTCTGACCGCTATCCGCGTTTTTAAACACCACTGTGTGATTTAAAGAGAAAATAGAACATTGCGATGTCAAGAAATTATTCTATGAAATAATTTGCCTTAAAAGATTTAATATGTTTGGGTATATAAAAAGAGACTAAAATTCCTTTATCTATCTATATTTATGCGCTAAATATTGAGTGACTAAAATATTCCTAAAATATTAATAAACTTTTATACCCTTAACTATTTATATTAATTTTGACAGGAACTTATAATGGAAGGACACAACTAGAAATAGACACGTTAGGATGAAGAGTTGTAGTAGAATAGGGACTTAATAGTGGAAGAAGTAGAGTTATGAATGAATAAGAAAAAGTAAATCCTAAAACTAAATATTCTAAACTTTCCTCTAGCTAAACGCGTAACAAATACATTAGAATTGAAGGAAGTTAATTCAATTGTATATAGTCATATATTTTCAAAGTATTAAAATAAAAATAATTAGTTTACAAAATTGAAGAAAACTTTTTAGTTTTCGTTTGAATTCCAAGACATGAAAAACAAAGTTCAACTAATTTTATTTTCTTAAAACATTTTGAGTTTGTTACCCGAAACTAACAACGCATTGTTATTCAAAAGAATTTTGTATATTTTTTATTGTATATTATTACAAATCCAACGTACTTAAACAATTTTGTCTTTGATTTTATAGTTTTAGAAATCTGATTTTGACCCACTTTTTCAAGTTCCGGACATTAATACTTTTTTATTTTTTATTAATAAGATAGCTATATTAATAATTATAAGCTAGCATAACTGTAGATCAAAGGAACGACTATAGGGTCACATTTACAATGCACGATCAAGACTAAATCACATTGGACTGAAAGAAATTGAAATTTATTGGGATTAGGCTTAAATTATTTTTCACATAGATTATTTCACATTGAATAAAATCGTAATACATTAGGACTTTCTAATATTTAATATTTTGAAGTAAACTAGCTAAACATTAAATTCTTTAAACAGAAACTCTAATTCATACTAATTTCACAAAATATTGTTGAACAATGGTGAATTATCCACTAACTGACTCAAACTAATTTGCACTAAGGATTTATAAATCTGGTGGAACTTTCTCTCATAAAGTTTGAATAAGATGTACACTATCTTAATTACTTTATTAAAAAAAACTCAATTTTAGGTTGATAGTTGACTGCAAACGAATGTGTGTTGGATGATCAGCCGCTGAAGATGTTGGTGTTACGACTCTTCNATATATATATATTTATAAATATCTTTTGTATAAATTATTTAATACTTGACTTAAGATATTCGTGCAACGCACGAGCATAGAGACTAGTTAGATACGAAAATATGATTTGCCTCCAAGGTTTAATGAGGACGGGTTGAATACGTTCATATGCGTTTTTTATTTCATTTGCTTAAGACTAATGTGAGGAAGCTAATAAGAGCGATTGGATTTTATTTCACCAACCAATCAGTTACGAACAAAAATGAAACTTTAAATAACACCTAATTATACAATCTTTTAGTTTGCATTTTCCCAGTTACATTTAATGACAGAGGAAAGCTTTCCTTTTGCATAGCCACTACCATTTAGCTAGGAAGGAAGAAGTAGCCAATCGAATTTAACCCCTCAGCTGAATCAACTAGCAAGACACTATATGACAAAAAATAGAAGACTGACAATAGATTGAGAAATTATTCTCTATATATGAAATGATTTGTGTGCTGCAGTTGCTTCAACAGAATTTAAAAATCATAACACGTTTTCACTACCTTAGTAGAAGAATTAAGAAAAGATCAATCAAAGCCAAATACTTCTTTTTCCTCATTATAATTCTTGTAGAATACATAGGGAGGAACAGACCAAAGCAGCAATTACAATGACTTGAGCTATTGACACTTCAGAAACCAATGGTCTAAAACCTGACGAATTGAACATGAAATTTGAAGGGGAACTAAAAAAATAAATAGGCCCTATCATCTAAACCTATAAACCTCACCAAAGCACAACATATTGTGCAAAGAATCTCAAAATTTCAACCCAACCCTTCCGAGATCCCAATCTTGAGCTATGTAAATCAGTGCCACCCTCACTTCCGCCAGCCCTTGCATCATGTTGTTAGGTGCCAATCTTGCCTTTGGCGACGTTTCAGTTTGCAGTATAAACAAATTTTACAACTGTTGATTGTGGATGCAATTCCCAACATATTTAAAGCCACTTAAAGCAAACCAGCAAGCAACGCTCCAGGATCTGATACAGCTGGTGGTGGACTTGTTGGTTGTGGTTGTGGCTGTAGAGGCATGGGTGGTTCAGGCGCCCCAGGAGCTGTAGGGAGACTAACCAATTGTTCCTTAATGAACTCCTTCAACCTACATATAGTTAGAAGAGAATCCATAGGTGATTTATACGTCAGTAATGAGCATTAAGAAGATTAACATTAGAAAGCACATTTAGCTCATACTCGAATGTCAGTGTAGGATCTCCAGAGGCAACTGTCATACGCAGTTGAGTTCTATCCGCTGGATCCGTTTCTATTCTTACCTGAACAACACAATTAAAGAAGTTGGATAATTTTTCTAGAACACTTCTCTATTTTAAACTAAATGATAAACCATAAAGATAACATCTTCTTGTCAAAGGTTTTCCATAAAAAAATGACATCTTCCAAAAAAAAAAAACCCACAGTTTCCACCTTCTCTCATGAAGGAATGACCACTTCTGTCAACTGTCATGTAAGTTTTTTGGACAAACTGCTCTACTCAATCCAGGTAGAAGGCAAATTCCCCAAAGAAGAAGAAACTGATACGGTGAGCTAACTCGTATACTGCTATAAACTTAGTCATATTATATTTAAAAAATTTGTTTCAGTAAATTAAAATATATCTCTAAGCAGCAGAAAATGCTCGTCTTCAACTCCACCGAGCCAATAAAATTTATGGTATTTTCTTAGAGCATTAAGAGGAAGCAAAAACTCCTTTTTTTTTGTTAAAAAAGTGCTTTTTGGAAAATGTGAGATGTTTGACCAAAATAAAAAAGTACTTTTGAGCAGCAACAGAAACAGTTTTTCTGCTTTTGAAGAGAAGCTACAAATTCTAGCTTCTTCCAAGAAGCAGATAATTAATTTATTCAAGACAAAAATATCCTACATTAAATTTATATTTATCAAATTATCCCTCATTAATTTAACTTTTTTTTCTTCTCATTTTACCATACATTTCTTCTCTTTTCTATTCTATCATATTTTAATTCTCTTTGTCCTAATCTATCTTCTTTTATATAGTGATCTATAAGAGTAGATTTTTAATTTATATTGAGTGATGTATTTTGATATATTTAAATCATCATGTAAACAATAAATGATACTAGATACCTCAAATTATCATTTAAATTATATTTTTATTATAATAGATATTTAAATTTATTTATCTTTTTTAAATAATACTAATTGCAAACTGAACCTTTACGGTCCTTTTTCATAATTTAATACTCAAAGTTCTTTTTGGAATGATTGGCCAAACACAATTTGCTTGCAAAAGCACTACTCAATGAATTGGCTAAACATAAACTGCTACTTTGCAAAAGTACTTTTTCGAAAAGCACTTTTGAAAAAAGTACTTTTAAAAATAAGCATTTTTTGAACAAAAGTACTTTTAAAAATAAGCATTTTTTGAACAAAAGTACTTTTAAAAATAAGCAATTTTTGACAGTTTGGCCAAACGGGCTCTAAGGCAGCAGTATCACAAGATCACTAGCTTACCAAACACAACATGGCTCGCGTACTCTCAGAATAGAAAGTTGTGCTAGCAATCAAATTATTTGTATTTGGATCCTGCATAAGAAATCAAGAGTTGCAACATAATGTTAATGTGAAGGTAAAAAATCCTGAAGGGAACAAGCCAAAATAGACGAAAGATCAGAAACTCACAAGTCCTGGACACACCATCAACCGGAGACTGTTGAACAAGTTTGCCATTTCAAGAAGTGGCAATGGTCTTACACCTCTAACCTGGTCAAAATAGAAAATAAGTTCGAGGCCATATGTCAGATATTGATGTGCGCACGTAAGTTTGAGATGGAAATCTAGGTATTCGTCCGTGAATTGTGATGTACTTAGTAATGCACACGTAAGAGCAAATTTCCATATGCAAGTATATTGCTAAAGTTCAACAAAGAGAATGGACATACCACTTCTTGGAGCTTCAATGGTGGCCCAGATAGTGATCTCCATTGTGGGAAAAATTCTTCTGGAGATACTGAGATAGGCTGAAGAAACTTATTCAAGAGAGCAGGAAGACGAAGTTTAACATTAACCTGTAAAATGCACAACAAAGTAAAAATAATAAATACAAGAGCTGACTTAACAATGACAGATCATTAAACACCCAAGCTCTAAACCCTCTACCCAGGAAAGAGGCTGTTTTCACTCTATTCCCTAGGTGACTTGAACCCCCAACCTCATGATTGAAGTGGTGAGTCCTTACCACTAGGATATCACTGACTCAAACCATATGAAAAACACAATTCATAAAGAATTAGTACCAGATGGGTTCCAAACTTATATGAGAAGTCAAGAACAGCAACATCCCTACTTGGACGAAGGTTAACAACTTCAAGCGGACATTGAACCTGGAGAAATTCATTTAGTTGGAGATTAGAAGATGTGACTATCAAATAACAAAAACTCAACTCATGAAACAAGTAAATAACTATCTGACCTGTGCACGTGGTGGAATAGTCTCAGGTACTAATGATAGTTCCACCCTCAAATGAGATGGAGGCAATATTTGAGCCTGTACTGAAGCCAGTGGAGAGGTATTTTTATTTCCTAAGAAGAGGACAAGTCGTCCATGATGTGCCCGCCAATCTGCTTTTATACCAATCTGGAATTATGCCAACCAAAAGCACTAAGTCCATAGAAGTCCATCACTTGACAGTTAAAACAATAAACTCTGGATCGATCATCTACCTGAATATATGGATCCTCATATAATACACCACTATCTTTAAGACACAAGGCATGAAACCTTTCTGCAATGTTTCCTATTGGCTACAACCAGGAAAGGTAAAACAGTCTGTCAGAATATCTAATTTCCGAACAGGTGACTGCACCCTAATAAAAATCTTTAAGTGCAGCAAAAATCTCCCTTCATTTGGAAAAGGCAATAATTATTAGTTGATTTTGCAGAGAATGAAACGAATGTGCTTCTACTGGAAAATGGTAATGAAAATGTATTTGCGGTCATCCAAGCAAGTGCCTTTACTAGCCAAACACTTTTAAAGCTTATCCCAGCAGCTTTCAGCAAAATTAATAACAGAAATCTTTTACAACTTTCAAAGAATAGGAAAATATGATGAACTGAGAGACCTGAATCTGATAAAGCAATCACGGGAACCAGAAACTGAAAAGAAATGGCAGCATCTTCCTATCACTAAATTAGGAGTCATAACAAGAAAGCTAGTGGGTAAAGCATATATTAACAAACGTAAAAGAAAGCAGTACCTGGATGGTGTTCATCTGTTCTTCAACAGGTGCAAGTGCTAGTGCATCCTCTGCAGTTGGAGCACCTTTAACACCAGCACCCAAATTATGGTCAGATTGGTTAGCATCAGGCTGAGGGCCCTCAATAGCCAGAGGACTTAAAAGATCACCCAGGAGATCAGGCGAAGGGGGTTGAGGATCCACAACAGTCAAAGTTCCATTTGACTGAGTCTCCCCTTGATCTGCTGAATCACGATCCTGTCCATAAAGTAAATTGTTGGTTACCATCTAATACTAAAAACATAGACAATTATATCCTCAATTTTTGCATAAATGGTCAGAGAGACACATTACCACATTGCTCATGCTTGGAACTTTTACTAAACCTAGCTGGCTGACTGGTGGAGTTCCATTAGCAGGGCGTTGGTCTGTCATTACTAAAGCATTAGAAGTTTGCTGTTGTGCACGCAACTTGATTGCACTTTGGTCAGCGGTATCAGCCTCAGTATCCTCAGCTTTTCTTATCAGTGAAGACTACATCGTAAAGAGAACATTGTCGCTTAACACCAATAATAACAATAACAATAATAAAAGGGCAATGTCATACTGCAAAAATTGAAAGATTACATTACATGATGCAAAAGGAGGACTCCCGTCGAACTAATACATCAATTATGCAGAATACTGCAGAAAATAAATAATCAAAGTCGAGAAGTCCTGCATGCATACCTGTCGCTCAGGGAACTTTGGCATTTCGGCTAAGATATCCATTAAAGCTGCACCTTTCTTACTCAACTCAAAGTATTCCACAGCCCGTTGCTGTATTTCAACTTCGATGCAGCTTTCATATCTGGGATATTGCGTAGCTCAATAAATTATCGCAATACCTTAGGAAATATACACAGAAGAAAAAACGACCGTACAGGATAAACAGAAATTACAACACCATAAATTAATAGTACTATCTTACTTCCTGAATATTGCCCAAATCTGATTCTGCAGCTCTGGATCTGGTGGCTGTGTGTGCATCAATATCTTTGCATAAGTTGACAGAAGAATGGGAATTGTTGAAGTCCTGAATAACATAGTTTGTGTAAAATATCAGATAGGATAACCAGAAGAATGGGAATTGTTGAAGTCCTGAATAACATAGTTTGTGTAAAATATCAGATAGGATAATAAAAAACAATGACAAAATGAGATCAAACACTGAATGTACTTACGTAACAGTAGGAAGCTTCTCATGAATGATGTTAAAGATTTCCTTTGGACTACATCCAGGCCTTCTAGCCAGAAGATGGCTGTATTCTCCAAGGATATATGCACTGACCTACTCCATCACATAACATCCAAAATACATTTTCAATTAGCTTTCCAATGTATTTTCTTTTTCAAACTGACCAGAAAAGGACAGCAGATGCATCGGAATTCAAAATATAAATCACGAAGACGATTATTTTGCTCTTAGGTGCTTATCTCTGGCTGTGAGGCAACTAACATAAAACTTGAAGAGCAAATGAAACAACAAAAAAGTTCTAACAATAGGGTGATGAAAATCTAGCTTGAACATAAATTAGTGCTACCCAGGTTAGGTCAACACAATGGAAGCCTAAACAATATAAATGAGCTATATATGAGTTTCGAATGCCTTGGATTAACAGCAGGCATCCATGTAAAATGGAGGCGTCAAACCAGGTCTCAAATTGTTGACAATACATGCCTTAAATTTTGATCCTTGACTCAAGCCTGTTCTTGGTATAAGGGCATGATTAAATCAAGGTGCAAGCTATTTCTATCTCAGGAACAGCTCAACCTAACATCTCTTCCAAACTTGTCTCAGAAGGTAACTCCATTCATTCTTCCACATGGCGGTACATATCCAAGACTTGGTTTTCCCTTCTCATGCACACGGTTTCAAATGAATTCCCGACTTCCAAGGACATTCCTCTAGTTTAATTTATATTCCAAAATAACAAATAAAGGTATGCTGCATAGAGACTTGTAGCTCAAAGTTCATGTAACTATTATATGTCAAAATGACTTAGGTTGGACTACCCATTCATATTACCAGCTAC